ACTAGAACTGAACTAGAACTGAACTAGAACTGAACTAGAACTGAACTAGAACTGAACTAGACTGAACTAGAACTGAACGAAACTGAACTAGCACTGAACTAGACTGAAACTAGGAATGACTAGAACTGAACTAGAACTGAACTAGAACTGAACTAGAACTGAACTAGAACTGAACTAGAACTGACTAGAACTGAACTAGAACTGAACTAACTGAACTAGAACTGAATAGAACTGAACTAGACCTGAACTAGAACTGAACTAGAACTGAACTAGAACTGAACTAGAACTGAACTAGAACTGAACTAGAACTAAACCATAACTAACTAGAACTGAGTTTTGTGAAAAAAAGAAAGTATTTTTTATAAGAAGAATTCGTTGTTGTTGTTTTCAGAAAATAGAAAAAATAAACAAATTTATAGAATTTAAATTGTAGCTGGAGAATTGTGTTTGGAATGTAATGAAATTAGTTTTGAATATTGGAACCAAAACAAAAAAAATCACAAAAAAACAAAAGCCTATAATAACAATAACAAGCGACAAATAAATAAACAAACGGAAGTGAACGGAAATAGGAAAAACATCCGTTATTTTACGCTCATTAATTATGTTGCTCTTTTTCTCTTATTCCCCGCATCACAAACGATTTATTACAAAAAAAAACCTAACAGAATTTTCGTTAATAAAACATATTAATTTGCATAATTTTTATTTGCAGAATACTAAACAAAGAATATTTTTTAAAATATTCCAATATTAAGCAAATATTTGAGAAATTAATTGCTGTAACAAAAGTTTTGTAAAAATAAACACAAATAATAAGGCAAAAATAGAAATTTTAAAAAGTGATTAAATAATATTTAAAAAATGTGATGTGAGGTAATATTTTTCAAACTTGTTTGTTGTTATAAATTTTTTGTTGGGCTAACTAAAATATCTATTAATTAATAGTATTTCTTGTTACTAAAGCAAATTTTGCATTCCAGTAGTGTGTGCTTAAATGCAAATAAATTTTTATGTTTATTATTAGTAATTCTGACAAATTATTTATTGGTTTTTCCTATCAAAATTGTAATAAATCTTGTATTATTTGTTTATATTTTACTTTGATACAGGCAAACAAAATTATTCATTTCATGATACAATTCTATTTATTATGAGTAAAAACAAACATTGTTTTAATATTTAAAACAACAAAATTCTCAAGATTTTAGTTTTAATAAATTAAAAACAATTTTCATCATGTTCATAGTTTTAGTTTTTATTATTTTCTGATTTTAGCTTTTAATAATAAATACTAGGGGCAAATTGTGTTAAAAGCTTTTCGAAAATGCTCTTTTAAAAACATAAGAGAGAAAGAGATTATTTACAAAAATTGTACAATAAATTTGGAAAAAGCACTTTATAAATACAGACAACAATCAATTTTTAACATATTAATGGAGAAAGGTTGAAACCAGGTAACCAACAAGATTTTTTTCTTGCTAATTTCCATTAACAAAGGTAAACTATTTACTAAGAAAGCAGCCTATATTGTCTAGCATAGCTAAGGCTGGTAAAAAATTATGTTAGTTAGCTGTTATTAAATTTTCATCATCATTATGAAATATGTATTGTTGTTGCTTTTGGTAATAAATGTTTAGATTTTTAGTTGTTTCCAATTGTTTTTTAGTTATTGTTGCTTTTATTTGTTTACAATTTGTTTAGATCAATCTTTTTTTATTGAACCTTTAATATAAACAAAACAAAATTGTTGTATTGATTTTAAGTATTTCCATCCAGCTATCTATACATCTGTCTGTCTGTCTTGATTTTGCAGTTGTTTCTTTCTCTACAAATAAACAAATTTCCATTATGACTATAGACAATGTGCGTAAATAGTGTTGGGAAATGTTTTAGAACTTTGGGCTTAAGAAAAAAATTATAAAATTTTGTATTTATAAAATTTATAAACAAACAATAAAGTTTTTATTATGAAAAAGAAAGTATGGTGGTGGGGGGCGTTTATGATGCCAGCACATTTTGAAGCATCTACATGATTTTTATTGTCTATATTTAGTATTAGTAGTAATTTATTTAAATTATTCACAAATCGTTTCTTAGAATTCAGGAGTAATTGGCTACGCATTAGAGTTTATTCTCAAAATGAATCACATTATATCTAAACATCCAAACATAAGATATTAACATTTATGTTAAGTTGAAGAAAATAAATGAAACCTGAAAATTTAAGTTATTTCTGTTCAGTTTAGTTCTAATTCAGTTTTAGTTCAGTTCTAGTTCAGTTCTAATTCAGTTCTAGTTCAGTTCTAGTTCAGTTCTAGTTCAGTTCTAGTTCAGTTCTAGTTCAGTTCTAGTTCTAGTTCAGTTCTAGTTCAGTTCTAGTTCAGTTCTAGTTCAGTTCTAGTTCAGTTCTAGTTCAGTTCTAGTTCAGTTCTAGTTCAGTTCTAGTTCAGTTCTAGTTCAGTTCTAGTTCAGTTCTAGTTCAGTTCTAGTTCAGTTCTAGTTCAGTTCTAGTTCAGTTCTAGTTCAGTTCTAGTTCAGTTCTAGTTCAGTTTTAGTTCAGTTCTAGTTCAGTTCTAGTTCAGTTCTAGTTCAGTTCTAGTTCAGTTCTAGTTCAGTTCTAGTTCAGTTCTAGTTCAGTTCTAGTTCAGTTCTAGTTCAGTTCTAGTTCAGTTCTAGTTCAGTTCTAGTTCAGTTCTAGTTCAGTTCTAGTTCAGTTCAGTTCAGTTCTAGTTCAGTTCTAGTTCAGTTCTAGTTCAGTTCTAGTTCAGTTCTAGTTCAGTTCTAGTTCAGTTCTAGTTCAGTTCTAGTTCAGTTCTAGTTCAGTTCTAGTTCAGTTCTAGTTCAGTTCTAGTTCAGTTCTAGTTCAGTTCTAGTTCAGTTCTAGTTCAGTTCTAGTTCAGTTCATTCAGTTCTAGTTCAGTTTAGTTCAGTTCTAGTTCAGTTCTAGTTCAGTTCTAGTTCAGTTCTAGTTCAGTTCTAGTTCAGTTCTAGTTCAGTTCTAGTTCAGTTCTAGTTCAGTTCTAGTTCAGTTCTAGTTCAGTTCTAGTTCAGTTCTAGTTCAGTTCTAGTTCAGTTCTAGTTCAGTTCTAGTTCAGTTCTAGTTCAGTTCTAGTTCAGTTCTAGTTCAGTTCTAGTTCAGTTCTAGTTCAGTTCTAGTTCAGTTCAAGTTCAGTTCTAGTTCAGTTCTAGTTCAGTTCTAGTTCAGTTCTAGTTCAGTTCTAGTTCAGTTCTAGTTCAGTTCTAGTTCAGTTCTAGTTCAGTTCTAGTTCAGTTCTAGTTCAGTTCTAGTTCAGTTCTAGTTCAGTTCTAGTTCAGTTCTAGTTCAGTTCTAGTTCAGTCAGTTCTAGTTCAGTTCTAGTTCAGTTCTAGTTCAGTTCTAGTTCAGTTCTAGTTCAGTTCTAGTTCAGTTCAAGTTCAGTTCTAGTTCAGTTCTAGTTCAGTTCTAGTTCAGTTCTAGTTCAGTTCTAGTTCAGTTCTAGTTCAGTTCTAGTTCAGTTCTAGTTCAGTTCTAGTTCAGTTCTAGTTCAGTTCTAGTTCAGTTCTAGTTCAGTTCAGTTCAGTTCTAGTTCAGTTCTAGTTCAGTTCTAGTTCAGTTCTAGTTCAGTTCTAGTTCAGTTCTAGTTCAGTTCTAGTTCAGTTCTAGTTCAGTTCTAGTTCAGTTCTAGTTCAGTTCTAGTTCAGTTCTAGTTCAGTTCTAGTTCAGTTCAGTTCTAGTTCAGTTCTAGTTCAGTTCTAGTTCAGTTCTAGTTCAGTTCTAGTTCAGTTCTAGTTCAGTTCTAGTTCAGTTCTAGTTCAGTTCTAGTTCAGTTCTAGTTCAGTTCTAGTTCAGTTCTAGTTCAGTTCTAGTTCAGTTCTAGTTCAGTTCTAGTTCAGTTCTAGTTCAGTTCTAGTTCAGTTCTAGTTCAGTTCTAGTTCAGTTCTAGTTCAGTTCTAGTTCAGTTCTAGTTCAGTTCTAGTTCAGTTCTAGTTCAGTTCTAGTTCAGTTCTAGTTCAGTTCTAGTTCAGTTCTAGTTCAGTTCTAGTTCAGTTCTAGTTCAGTTCTAGTTCAGTTCAGTTCTAGTTCAGTTCTAGTTCAGTTCTAGTTCAGTTCTAGTTCAGTTCTAGTTCAGTTCTAGTTCAGTTCTAGTTCAGTTCTAGTTCAGTTCTAGTTCAGTTCTAGTTCAGTTCTAGTTCAGTTCTAGTTCAGTTCTAGTTCAGTTCTAGTTCAGTTCTAGTTGTTCAGTTCTAGTTCAGTTCTAGTTCAGTTCTAGTTCAGTTCTAGTTCAGTTCTAGTTCAGTTCTAGTTCAGTTCTAGTTCAGTTCTAGTTCAGTTCTAGTTCAGTTCTAGTTCAGTTCTAGTTCAGTTCTAGTTCAGTTTCTAGTTCAGTTCTAGTTCAGTTCTAGTTCAGTTCTAGTTCAGTTCTAGTTCAGTTCTAGTTCAGTTCTAGTTCATTTCTAGTTCAGTTCTAGTTTCAGTTCTAGTTAGTTCTAGTTCAGTTTCTAGTTCAGTTCTAGTTCAGTTCTAGTTCAGTTCTAGTTCAGTTCTAGTTCAGTTCTAGTTCAGTTCTAGTTCAGTTCTAGTTCAGTTATAGTTACAGTTCTAGTTCAGTTCTAGTTCAGTTCTAGTTCAGTTCTAGTTCAGTTCTAGTTCAGTTCTAGTTCAGTTCTAGTTCAGTTCTAGTTCAGTTCTAGTTCAGTTCTAGTTCAGTTCTGTTCAGTTCTAGTTCAGTTCTAGTTCAGTTCTAGTTCAGTTCTAGTTCAGTTCTAGTTCAGTTCTAGTTCAGTTCTAGTTCAGTTCTAGTTCAGTTCTAGTTCAGTTCTAGTTCAGTTCTAGTTCAGTTCTATTTCAGTTCTAGTTCAGTTCTAGTTCAGTTTCTAGTTCAGTTTTTGTTTAGTTCTTGTTCAGTTTTATTTCAGTTCTAGTTCAGTATTTGAAATCTTCTTCTCGTTAAACAATTTTCTATTGAAAATTTTCTCTCGTAAATTATCTGCTTATAATATTATAATTTAATACACACCTGTTGCCATTGATCCTCAATCGAGGGTTGTGATGAAAAATATCCAGTTGTGCAGATGCGTTCCAATTCGCTGAAAATATTCCCACTTGGTAATATATCCATATTGACGTCCATACTATGTAAATCCCAGGACTCCGTGGTGAAAATTTTTTTATTAAGCCAGCACTTAAGAAAATTATTAATTTATTTAATTTTTTTTCGAAAAACACAATTTTTTTCGCAAGAAACACTTTTAAGCCACGGCTGCTTTTAATTTTACCAGAAAAATGTAACACTAGCACTAAAATAATTTTATTTAAATTTTTCTTAATTTAAAGTAAAAATTTTTACTTTATTTTCAATATTTTTAATAAATAACATGGATTTAATTTATTTTCAATAATTTGTATATTTTAAGTTGGGATTTTTTTTTTTAGGAATTTTTTCGAAAAACCTGTAAATAGATAAAAATAAAAATTTATGTTAATTTTTTGGTTAAAAAAAATCATTTCCTAAATATATTATTCTTTAAATTAATAAAAAATTATAATAAATAAAAATATTTTGTTTGACTACAACAAGTGCCTTTTAAGTTAATTATGTATGCCATGTGCATTTATTATTCAATACACAATTATTCCCTTTTGTTTGTTTGTTTTTTATTTTAATTTCAATTTTGTATTAATAAGTTTTTGTGTAGAGTTGTGGTCAAGATTTTTTATATTTCCCTTGTTGTTTTATTAATGACTTTTTTCCAAAAATAATAAGAATTTCAAAAAACCAAAAAAAAAACTCTTGAAAAAAATAACCACCTTTTTTAAGTTCGGTTCAGTGACCTACACACTCACACATATTGGTTACAGTAAATGTTTGGTATTTGGTTTAAAATATAAATTTTGTATTTTGTTTGTTGAAAACATTTCGTTTTTCTTTTCCTTTTTATTATTTTTCCCTTTCTCTTTTTATTTTCAATTTGTTGGTTTTGTTTTGTTTTCTTTCTTTTTCTTTTTTTTCGGAGGGTTCTTTGAAACCTTGTGTCAGTTAACTTGGCTTATTCGAAAAAAAAAACTATGGCTAAAGAGAAAAACAACAAAAACAGCTATTGTTACTATTAACTACTGTCAGCCGGCCATTTGTATGGGCAGACAGACATACATTCTAATGCCTGTTTTATATGTTGCCACATTGTAGCTTCATGCCTCTATTCATTGTGGCATTATTGAGAATTTTGTATTATGGTTTTTTTTAGTTTAAGCCAACATACAGCAAATGTTGTTGGTACAGTTAGTGTTTGGTTGGGAAATAAGTTATTTTTAAAAATTTAGAATTTATATTTTTCTGAAGAATTTTTAAAGGAAACCAGAAATGAGATTTATATAAAATTATTAAAAATTAGAAAATGTTGAAGTTTTCCATAGAATCTTTAGACAGTTTTCTATAGAAGACTGTTCTAGTTCTAACTCAGTTCCAATTCAGTTTTAGTTCAGTTCTAGTTCAGTTCAGTTTTAGTTCAGTTCAGTTCTATTTCAGATCTAGTTCAGATCTAGTTCAGTTCTAGTTCAGTTCTAGTTCAGTTCTAGTTCAGTTCTAGTTCAGTTCTAGTTCAGTTCTAGTTCAGTTCTAGTTCAGTTCTAGTTCAGTTCTAGTTCAGTTCTAGTTCAGTTCTAGTTCAGTTCTAGTTCAGTTCTAGTTCAGTTCTAGTTCAGTTCTAGTTCAGTTCTAGTTCTAGTTCAGTTCTAGTTCAGTTCTAGTTCAGTTCTAGTTCAGTTCTAGTTCAGTTCTAGTTCAGTTCTAGTTCAGTTCTAGTTCAGTTCTAGTTCAGTTCTAGTTCAGTTCTAGTTCAGTTCTAGTTCAGTTCTAGTTCAGTTCTAGTTCAGTTCTAGTTCAGTTCTAGTTCAGTTCTAGTTCAGTTCTAGTTCAGTTCTAGTTCAGTTCTAGTTCAGTTCTAGTTCAGTTCTAGTTCAGTTCTAGTTCAGTTCTAGTTCAGTTCTAGTTCAGTTCTAGTTCAGTTCTAGTTCAGTTCTAGTTCAGTTCTAGTTCAGTTCTAGTTCAGTTCTAGTTCAGTTCTAGTTCAGTTCTAGTTCAGTTCTAGTTCAGTTCTAGTTCAGTTCTAGTTCAGTTCTAGTTCAGTTCTAGTTCAGTTCTAGTTCAGTTCTAGTTCAGTTCTAGTTCAGTTCTAGTTCAGTTCTAGTTCAGTTCTAGTTCAGTTCTAGTTCAGTTCTAGTTCAGTTCTAGTTCAGTTCTAGTTCAATTCTAGTTCAATTCTAGTTAGTAACATGATCAGCCAGATGGATGGACAACATCATATCGGACCAACAAGAGATTTTATGTTGAAAACAACGATCCGATTTTAAGCATATACAATAGGTTCCATCCTTGAACCTAAGTAAAAGTTTGCGCTAAAATTTGTCTAAATATCTTTAAAATTTCACAGATAACATGATGATATTTTGACGTAAATATGGATGGACGGACATGTTTAGCACGAAACAGAAATCAATTCCAAATCAGTAGGTTTTCCCGACCATTAATAATATTCCAATATAAAGTAACTTAAATGATGTTCTTATTAAGATATTAACCTTAGTTCAACTTTTTAACCTCAACTTTTTTTTTCAAAATTCTCCCTTTTTAAAGATTTATGCTCAAAACAAAGTGTACAACAAATGTTTTGCATTAATTGAAAGGGTTTTTATTGTTGTTATACTTGTTTTCTTGGGGGTTTTGTTATGATTATATAGAAAATTATTTATGGTTGCCATACGTACGGGATTTTAATCAAAACAACAAGCTACAACAACCACAAAAAAAAACTCCAAATTTGGATATCAAAACAAAAAAATCTTACCAAACCAAGAAATCAAAAAGTATGAGAAAAAAAGAGTAAAAAATTAAATTCCCTTAAAAAAATAACAACAACAACAAAAATATACATCATGCGTTAATAATAAGAAAAAAACAACAAAAGTATGATAAAAACAAACCTTAACAGGAAAATTAAAAGAGTTACGAAGAGGGGATTGCATGAAATATCGAATTATTATGCACATGATTTGTTAACATACATACGTTATTAACTTGAGATACGTTAAAAAAAATACGGTACAATTTTGAACTTAAGTATCTGTGCTACGGTACAGTTTTGTTTGTTTATGGCAAAATGTCAACAACTTTTTAAAAGAAAACGTCAGTTTGTCGCTTTGTGTTTAAAATATTTACCCATGCTTCGTTCTTAAATTTCTTCTAAGGTATTGAACTCTTTTATTGTTGTTGTTGTTGTTAGTAGCGTGTTTACGAAAATGGTTTGTTTACCTTTTTTAAATATTAAAAAAATACTCTCTTACTCACGCTTACAAAAACAAACATTTTTAATAGTTGTCACTTGTAAGGGAGTGAAATGGCAACAACAACAAAAGAAATGGAAAAAAGGTAAATATTTAAAACAAAAAGAAAAAGCATCAGGTTTCATTCAAAATCGATCGACACAGATATGTTTTCTATATTTTACCCATATTTACTTTAATGCTAAACATTGGCACTTCTTCTCTTACAGGCAGTCATTTTTTAAGCAAAATTTTACCCGTTGCAGGCTTTTTAGTTACTTTTATCGGCAAAAAAAACCTTTTAATGGCTTTTTATCTTTAATCATAATAAGTCTTTAATTTCCAACACATTGTGGTGGCTGTTCTATTGTTTTCTCAACTCAAGCAATCATCCCATCCATCCATTCATCCATCGACTACTATTTAATCTCTGTTACAGAGACAAGGGGATATTATTGCCTTTTCACACACACACTGTAACAATATACCAGCATTTTTAAGAGGTGCTACTTTAGTCATGCAATTTTGATTGCTGCCACTATAAAAAGAAATCTAAAAAAAATATATCCATTAATGATCAATTATTGTACAATAACAGGGAAGCAATTTTTTAGGAATTGAACAACAAAGAGCTCAAATTGTTAAGAATAAAGAAAATATATAGACGGGTTTGCCTGATATTAGTGGACTTGAGTCAATTATGAGTAAGTCTTAAGATTTACTGAAAAGGGGTTCTGAAACGAATTTTGAAGGAAGTTTAAATATGGAATTGAGGTCCTAAAATGTAACGCTTGTCAAAATTTGGTAGAGTGATTAATGTTGTTATGAGACATCCATATTTTCTAAGATCTTTTATGGGGCTGGAGTCAATTATCTATTGACTACTGTATGAACTGGTCTATGGACTAGTATATTAACTGGTCTGTGGACTAGTCTACTGGCTAGTCTGTGGACTAGTACACTGGCTAGTCTGTGGACTAGTACACTGACTAGTCTATGGACTAGTCTACTGACTAGTATGTGGAATAGTCTACTGGCTAGTCTGTGGACTAGTCTACTGACTAATCTGTGGACTAGTCTATGGAGTAGTCTACTGACTAGTATGTGGACTAGTCTACTGACTAGTATGTGGAGGACTAGTCTACTAACTAGTATATGGAATAGTCTATGGGCAAATCTTTTGACTAGCATATGGACTAGTCAGTAGTAGTATTGAAAATACTATGGACTAGTATATTAACTAGTCTGTAGACTAGTCTGAGGACTAGTCTACTGACTAGTCTGTGGACAAGTCTACTGGCTAGTATGTCTATTCCACTGACTAGTATGTGGACTAGTCTACTGACTAGTCTATGGACAAATCTTTTGACTAGCATAAGGACTAGTCAATTAGTATATTAACTAGTCTATGGGAATATCTTTTGACTAGCATATGGAATAGTCAAAAAACTAGTCAGTAAGTGTATTTAAAATACTATGGACTAGTCAATGAAATAATTCTGTTCTAGTATATGGACTAGTCTACTGACTAGTCAATAGGCTAGCTTATTGAGTGTATGTATAAACTTACTGACCAGTCTATTGACTTATCTATGATATAGTATATGGACTAATATATTGACTAGTATATGAACTAGTCTACTAAATAGTATATTTACTCTTCTATGGATTAAGTTATGAAATAGTATATTGACTAACTTACTGACTGGTCTATTCACTATCCTATAGGACAATCTTTTGACTGATATATGGACTAGTCAGTAAGTGTATTGAATAGTCTATGGGCTAGTCTATTGACCAGTCTATGGTCTAATCTTTTGACTAGTATATGGACTAGTATACTGAGTAATCAATGGACTAGCATATTGAAAAGTCAATTGACTAGTCTATGTACAAACTCATTGTCTTTGTCTATGGACTAGTGCATTGACTTGTATATGACATATTCTATGGTCTAATATATTGACTCGTCTATTGATTAATATTTTGACAAATTTATGTACCACTTTAGTGACAGGTCTATGGACTAGTATTTTATCTATTGACCTGCTTATAAACCATGAAGGGAAATTTAGGAAAAAATAAT